TGAACCCCAACGTATTTGTATGGAACTCCGACGGGTCTCACATAAAGAGCTCAAATGAACTCAAACGAATTCAAACGGAACTCAAATGACATCAAACGAACTCAAATGGAACTCAAATGGAACTCAACAGTGGAACTCACATTGAACTCAAAAGAACGCAAATGGACTCAAGTGGAACTCAATTGGAAGTCAAATGGGCTCAAACGACCTCAAATGGAACTCACATGGAATTCATCTGAACTCCAACGAATTCAATTGAAACTTGGAAGATCTCACATGGAGCTCTAATGAACTCAACCGAACTCAAATGGAACTCGAATGAATCGAACGAACTCACCTGGAACTCACATGGAAATCAAATGGAACGCAACAGTGGAACTCACATTGGGTTCAAATGAATTCAAACATACACAAATGGAACTCCAAACGAGTTCTACTGGCGTTCTGCCTTCTGTGCCAGCTCCTCGTCCAAGTCTCCAACCTGGCACGCGGACGAACGCAAATTATTCACTGCGAGGAACTCCCCATATGTGCATCTATTCGCATGGACTTGTCCACCGTGAATGTCTAGGCGCAATGGCAAGAGCTTTCGAATATAAGCGGGTTTCAATTGTGACGGTCTGGTCATGAATCTAACTGAGAATGAATTGGACTGCGAATGAGCCTCAGTAGTACGAGCGCGTCTCTGCGCATGAGCCTGGGTCCTCCTGGGGCCTCCCGGGGCCTCCTGAAACCTACTGGGGTTTCCTGGGGCCTCCAGGAGCCTCTTGGTGCCTCCTGGGACCTCCTAGGGAGGATTCGTGCCCCAGGAGAGGCCCAATGTATAGCAACACGCGCACATGAAACATTGCGGATAGAGGGCAATCTATAGAAACACTCATGCCCCAGGAGAGGCCCTATAGGACAATGTCTAGAAACGTACGTATAACATCAAAGATTCGTGCACCAGGTGAGGCCCAATCTATAGGAGCATACGTAAAACAAATGGGACTGGGGCTCAAACGAGCATGGATGAACGCAAACGAAGTCACTCGGAAGTCAACGGAAACCACTCACATGACGCGCGAAATCAAATCAACTCGAACGGGAGTCAAAAGGATCCGGACGGACTAACGTACATTCTACACCATCAAAACCCGCCCTGCTGACACTCCTGACTCTTGTCCTGTTGCGGTCAATATTTTTCTTCCCCCGCCTCCTCCATGTCGTCTTCGTCTTCCTGCGTTTCCTCCTTGTCCTCACTAGCCTCAGCTATCCAACGACAATTCTAACAAACAGCGTCTTCGTCCATTTCCTGCCCTGCGCCCAATTGCTGCGGCAGACAGAAAAGAAAGAGGGAGAAGAGAGCGATGTCCTGGGAAGGAATTCCTCCTCCTCCTCCTCTTCCTCCTCCTGCCCCCTCGCCATTGTTCGCCGGCCCCATGGGCCAGAGGCGTGCTACGATCTCCGGAAACTACTTAACAATATTCCTAGTTCGCGCGCGCGGAGCGGCCCTTGGGGGCCCCCGGACGAAACGTACCCCGGCTGACCCCCGGCCGGGTCCCGGGCCAGAGGCGTGCTAAAGTCTCCGGTAACTACTTAACAATATTCCTAGTCCGCGCGCGCGGGGCGGCCCCTGGAGGGCCCCGGACGAAAAGTACCCCGGTCGATCCCCGGCTGACCCCCGGGCGATCCCCAGGGGGGAGGCTATTTTTCGCCACCCCTCACAAGGATCGTGGCCTCAGAGGGGGGGGGGCTGCCAACGACTACCCCCCCTCCCGCCCCAAGGGGCCCCAAAGAGCCCCCCAAGAGACCGCAGGGAGGCCCAAGACGCCGCCAAGGAGCCCCAAAACGCTCCCAAGAAGCCCCCAAGAGGCCCCAGACGGCTCCATGAGGCCCCAAATAGCGTTCCAGGGCCGGCGGAATGGGCGAAGCGACTAAATAATAATAGTAGTTGTGCTATTTAGTAGTCACAAGTAGTAGTAAGAGAGGAGTAGATGTAGTAACTTAGTGTCAGAGTTTTCATGTATACATAGAATAGTAGTTCGTAGTAGTGAAGTTATGAGTAGTAGTAGTTAGTGTCGTAGTAGTAGTAGTAGGATAGTAGTAGTAGTAGAGTCGTTATTGTTGTTAGTAGTAGTAGTTAGAGTAGAAGTGGTAGAAGTAGTGGAATGTAGTAGTTTAGTAGTAGTAGTACGTTAAAGTAGTAGTTAAGTAGATGTAATAGTACACAGATCGCGTCGCCGTCGTCGTCGTACGTCGTCGTCGGTCGTCGTCCCTCGTCGTCGTCGTCGTCGTCGTCGTCGTCGTCGTCGTCGTCGTAGTAGTAGTAGTAGTAGTAGTAGTAGTAGTAGTCGTAGAAGTAGTAGTAGTAGTCGTAGAAGTAGAAGTAGTAGTAGTAGTAGTCGTAGCTGTAGTAGTAGTAGTAGTAGTAGTAGTAGTAGTAGTAGTAGTAGTAGTAGTAGTAGTAGTAGTAGTAGTAGTAGTAGTAAGTAGTAGTAAGTAGTAGTAACTAGTAGCAAGTAGTAGTAAGTAGTAGTAGTAGTAGTAGTAGTAGTAGTAGTAGTAGTAGTAGTAGTAGTCGTAGTAGTAGTAGTAAGAGTCGTAGTAGCAGTAGTAGTAGCTGTAGTAGTAGTAGTAGTAGTCGTAGAAGTAACCGTAGTAGTAATGAAAGTAATAGTAATCATATTAGTAATGAGAGTAGTAGTAGCAGCAGTAGTAGTAGTCGTAGTAGTAGTAGTAGTAGTAGTCGTAGTAGTAGTAGTAGCAGTAGTGGTATCAGTAGTAGTAGTAGTAGTAGTAGTCGTAGTAGTAGTACTCGTCGTCGTCGTAGTAGTAGTAGTAGTAGTATCAGTATCAGTCGTCGTAGTAGTAGTAGTAGTAGTAGTAGCAGTCGTGGTAGTAGCAGTCGTAGTAGTAGTAGTAGTATGAATAGTAGTAGTAGTAGTAGTAGTAGTAGTAGTAGTAGTAGTAGTAGTAGTAGTAGTAATAGTAGTGGTAGTAGTGATAGTAGTAGTAATATAGTAGTAGTAGTAGTAGTAGTAGTAGTAGTAGTACTAGTAGTCGTAATAGTAGTAGTAGTAATAGTAATCGTAGTAGTACTGGTAATAGTAGTAGTAGTAGTAGTAGTAGTAGTAGTGGTGGTGGTAGTAGTAGTAGTATTAGTGATCGTAGTAGTAGTAGTAGTAGTAGCAATCGTAGTCATAGTAGTAGTAGCAGTAGTCGTAGTAATAGTAGTACTGGTGGTAGTAATAGTAATAAGTAGTAGCAGTAACAGTAACAGTAGTAGATAATTATAGTTCGGAGTAGTAGTCGTACTAGTAGTCGTAGTAGTACTAGTAGTAGTAGCAGTAGTAGTAGTAGTAGTAGTAGTAGTCATAGTCGTAGGAGGAAAAATTAGAAAACGATAATACGTAGAACGATCAAGCATTATACCAGCAACGTTATTGCGAATCAGACTACTGGAAATACAACAAGCGAGTCGCAGCAGCATTGAGAATAACAGCAGCAGCAGCAGGAGTAGTAGTAGTAGTAGCAGTAGTAGTAGTACCAGTAGTAATAGTAGTAATAGTAGTAGTAGTCGTAGTAGTAGTCGTAGCAGTAGTCGTGGTAGTAGTAGTAGTAGTAGTAGTCGTGGTAGTAGTAGTAGTAGTAGTAGTGGTAGTGGTAGTAGTAGTAGTAGTGGTAGTAGTAGTCCTAGTAGTAGTAGTAGTAGTAGTAGTCAAGGTAGTAGTAGTCGTAGCCGCAGTAGTAGTAGTAGTAATAGTATTCGTAGTAGTCGTAGCCGTAGTCGTAGCAGTAGTAGTGGTAGTAGTAGTAATCGTAGTAGTCGTAATGGTAGTCGGTGTGGCAATAGTAACCGCAGTAGAAATAGTAATACGAATAGTCGTAGCAGTAGTCGTAATAGTAGTAGTCGTCGTCGTAATAGTAGTACTAGTAGTACTAGTAGTAGTAGTAGTAGTAGTAGTAGTAGTAGTAGTAGTTATAGTAGTCGTAGTAGTAGTAGTCGTAATAGTAGTGGTGGTCGCAGTTGTAGTAGTAGCAACAACAGAAGTAATACTAGTAGCAGTAGTATTAGTAGTATTAGTAGTAGTAGTAGTAGTAGTGGTAGTAATAAAAATAGTAATAGTAGCAGTAGTAGTAGTAATGGTAGTAGTACTGGTGGTAGCAGCAGCAGTAGTAGTAGTAGTAGTAGTAGTAGTAGTGGTAGTAGTCGCCGTATTACTAGCAGTAGTGGTAGTAGTAGTCGGTATGAATAGTAGTGGGAATAACAACACTAAGTCTTAGAACGATACGAAATCGTAGCAGCAACGCTAGTACGAGTTATACTACTGGTACAAAAACAAAACAAATGACAAACCTACCCCTTGTATTAAAAATCGCATCACCATTAATACCAACAATGTTGAGAATAACAGTAGTAGTACTAGTAGTAGCCGTCGTAGTAGTAATAGTAGTAGTAGTAGCCGTAGTAGTAGTAGTAGCAGTAGTAGTAGTAGTAGTAGTAGTGGTAGTAGCAGTAGTAGTAGTAGTAATAGTGGTAGTCGTAGTAATAGTAGTAGCACGGTCGTTGCAGTAGTAGTATTCGTAGTCGTAGTAGTAGTAGCAGTAGTAGTAGTAATAGTAAAGGTAGTAGTAGTCGTAGCCGTGGTAGTTGTAGTAATAGTATTCGTGGTAGTCGTAGTCGTAATCGTAGCAGTAGTAGCAGTAGTAGAAGTAGTAGAAGTAGTCGTCGTCGTAGCCGATAAGGTAATATTAACCGCAATAGTAGTAGTAATGCGAGTAGTAGCAGTAGTAGTAGTAGTAGTAGTAGTAATAGTAGTAGTAATAGTAGTTATAGTAGTCGTAGTAGTAGTAGTAGTAGTAGTAATAGTAGTGGTGGTCGCAGTGGTAGTAGTAGCAGTAGCAGGAGTAATACTAGCAACAGTAGTAGTAGTAGTAGTAGTAGTATAGTGGTAGTAGTACTGGTGGTAGTAGTAGTAGTAGTAGTCGTAGCCGTCGTGTAACTAGCAATAGTAGTC